GACAGTTTGTGATGTTTCAGGAAAATCCATATCCTGAAAGCTCCTTATTCAGCTTTGCTAGAATAGCACGAACTTCTTAAAACATTTCAAGCCAGACTAGATTTTATTTACTTAAGGGGTTTTGTACCATCCTTTTACCCCAAGGTCTGGGGGGAAAAAATCACCCAATTTTTAGGTGGCCCACAAGCCCCCACTCCAACTTTATGGTTTTATGCAATGTTGACCCAGCATTGCATACCACACATCTGCTGAAGCTGCCTGTTCAAATAGACCTCCCATATTTGCAGATTTTGACTGCTCTTTGTTTTGGGTGCCGCAAGCCTTTTCAAGAAGCAGAGCGGAGTGACCTGGAAGCCTGTTTCCTTAGCTTTTTCGGCAGCCTGACCTACCTGCTTTCTGTGAGATTCTGAAGGTTAAAAAATAAAAAAAATTAGTTCAATCCAATCTATTTCATCTTCTAAGGTTAGAAGATGTCAGCAAGGTGATGTCTCTTAAAAAGCAGAGACATCACCCTGCCAACAAAGGTCCGTAGAGTTCAAGCTATGGTTTTCCCAGTAGTGATGTATGGAAGTGAGAGCTGGACCATGAAGAAGGCTAATCGCCGAAGAATTGATGCTTTTGAATTATGGTGCTGGAGGAGACTCTTGAGAGTCCCATGGACTGCAAGAAGATCAAACCGATCCATTCTGAAGGAAATCAGCCCTGAGTGCTCACTGGAAGGACAGATCCTGAAGCTGAGGCTCCAATACTTTGGCCACCTCATGAGAAGAGAAGACTCCCTGGAAAAGACCCTGATGTTGGGAAAGATGGAGGGCACAAGGAGAAGGGGACGACAGAGGACGAGGTGGTTGGACAGTGTTCTGGAAGCTACCAGCATGAGTTTGACCAAACTGCAGGAGGCAGTGGAAGACAGGAGTGCCTGGCGTACTCTGGTCCATGGGGTCACGAAGAGTCAGACACGACTAAATGACTAAACAACAACAAGGTTAGTACAAAAACAAAGCCAGCAGACTAAGAAACTTTAGGATCCCAGGAATGTGCCGTATGCAGAGTCGAACCATTGATGCACCTTGCTCAGCTGCATGGCTCCAGAGTACTGCATTTTTCCTCCCTCCTCCTCTAACTCTGTTCCTTGCTCAGGCAAACAAGGGGGTCCCATGTTCCAGACCCACCATTGCCAGATTTACAGTGGTACCTCGGGTTACAGGCACTTCAGGTTACTGACGCTTCAGGTTACAGACTCTGCTAACCCAGAAATAGTACCTCGGGTTAAGAACTTTGCTTCAGGATGAGAACAGAAATTGCGCGGTGGCGGTAGCAGGAGGCCCCATTAGCTAAAGTGGTGCCTCAGGTGAAGAACAGTTTCAGGTTAAGAATGGACCTCCAGAACGAATTAAGTTCTTAAGCCAAGGTACCACTGTACATATAAGCTGAACAAGCTATAGCTTATGGTCCCACGCTCTTGGGCCCCCCCAAAAAAACGTAAAGGGGGATAAACTGCATGTGCATTTCTAAAATATAAGATAAAAAAACAAATAAAATAAAACCTACATACAGCAAGAGTGTTTTGTTTTGTTTTGTGTTGTATAGGCCCCTATGATGTAAGTCATGGGCCCCGCCTGCTAGCCTGCTCCCTAAAATTTCACTGGTTTGCTCCTTTCTATACATAGGGTGCCTATATTCTGCATGGACTGCTTGCATGGCAACATGTGCAAATAGCTTTAGATACCTATTAGGTCCATAAATTACCATATAGCATATATTCAACACAAAAAACAACAACAATTTGTTGTTGACAAAGGACAGCTGGACATATAAAGGGCCCCGTTACCTTCAGTAGCTTAGGGTTTCATCAAACCTAAATCCGGCCCTGAGACCTGCTACCAGTTTTGGTAGCTATTTCCTGGCTACAGGACAAGTTTGGGGAATCATGCGCTTCTTTCAAAGCAAACAAACATATTTTGGTACCATCAGTTCTTGTTTCGGGACGTGGGTTGGTGTCACCTGCCCTGGGAGCTCCTGGCTGAGTCCAAGCAGGTGACTGAAGGTTGATCATCTCTCAGCCAGCTGCAGATTTATTAAAAACCAAGGGGGACATAAGGTTGGAGCAGTTTGCGGCAGGATAAGAGCAGAATTCGACATCGCTGGATGGAGCTGTTTGGCAGCAGATTCAAGGAGGCGATAGGGAAGAATGTTATTTCCCAGAACGTGTAATTGATGTATGGGATTCGCCGCCACAAGGCATGGCTATTAAAAACAAATTCCTGCAGATTAGGCCTATGGGTGTCTTCGGCAGCTTAGGCAAGCATCCATGTTCAAGCGAAGTGTACCTCTGTAAACCAGCAATGAACTAATTAATTACGTTTATATCCCACGGATAAGGCATACGTAGAACAACTCCCCAATTTATCCTCACAGCAACGCAGCAAAGGAGGTTTGGCTGAGCGTGAGTTACTGGACAAATAGGGTGCATCATTTCAGAGTGGGTAAAACTTACGGTAATTTTTGCAAATTTATTCAGCGAGGGATCTTCAAAATACGTTTTTGGGTGTGCAGAATTCAAATCTGCTGTTACTCTTGTGATTGGACAACATTTAGCTTAGTAAGTCTACATTTGGTGAAGAAGCACATAAACTGCTTTTGGAGGGGGAACCAAATAATTTTAGTTTTACCTTCTGAAAATAGCAGGTCATGCTAAATAATAATAATGCTAATAAATGAAAATAATATTAACTTAACTGAAAGTACTTGGCAATCATTTTTAACCATTTCTGTGGAACCTTACACATATTTCACTTACTGAGCAAAATAAAATGTACATTAACTTAACCAAAATGTCTTTTGAATTGAAAAGGTAATTTGAATTCCACCCCTCATTTTGGGAATTCGAAAGCTGAAAATTGTTAACACACCCTATTGGCCCAACATCACCCAGTGAGTTTTGTGGCCGAGCGGGGATTCGAACCCTGGTCTCTCAGGTTCTAGTGTGACACTTTTAACTTCTGCGCCACACTGGTCCTTGGGTTTCTTTGGCTTAGCCATTATATTGTCCATAACTGTATAACATCGACATTTGCTGGTTTCACACCATGCTCTGGAGTCCCATAAATCCTCGTGTCTCCTGGAAGGAGCCCAGGTGGTTCAACCTGGAACGTGTTTTGGAGTGCTGGTCACTGTTTAAATACTTCCATTATTCTTAAATCCACACATATCTAAATATATGAACCGTGTGTCTGAAATAGTACAGGGGAGCAATCCTGAAGTCATTTTGACTCTCCCAATGAGCTCAAATATTCCTCTGCAGTAAGGGAGGCAAATGGGATTGTCTTTTTGCTTGCAAATCCTGTCTTAAGGGCATATTTGTGTATGAATTGGGTGAACCTGAGACCTGGATTCAGGAACTACAGTATTAACCATCACCAAAGAATGGCTGGGCTGCCCAGGTAATGCAATCAGGGACCATTGTCAGGTATCCTGGCAGACAAGATTTCTGCTATAGACTGCCTCCTTCTGTGATGCATGTATGATGTTTTGGGGGGGTGGTCTTGGGCTACAGGGTGGGCAATTTCAAAAGTCTATATAAGGGCTTGTGCACCATTGTTCAGGGTTCTCCTCCCTCCTGTGTGTGGTGAGTGGGGACCGTGTTGCAACAGTTCCTTGAATAAAGACCAGGCTTACTAGCCGCTTTGCTTCTCAATATACTCTGGTTGGCCTCTGTTGTTTTCTCCTACAGATGGGGAACCCACTTAAGGACTCTATATGGGCTCTGGAATACCCCATATGGGAAAGGGAGCAGTTTTTCTTATAACAAGAGCTTTGGATGATGTGACAGTGCGTGCAACTGCAAAGTATGTACAAAAGCACACTGGGGGAAAAGATCTCAGTGCATTGCAGAGGACATGTTGGCACAACAGCTTAAAGCAGCAGAGAACAGCCTGCCAGCATTAACAAATTTAGCCCATGGAGCAGAGGAGACTTCAGCAATGATTATACACATCTTAGGTTCTTCCTGTTAGAAGAGCAGGTGTCACAAGTCATTTACATTTGTAAAAGGCTGAAAAGGGTGTTCTTAAAAGAGCAGGAACCCTAACCTGGGAAAGGTGGCAATCGTAGAATCGGTGGGCGAAGAAAGTCCCTAACGGGGATTGAGAATTCCTTCTTGGACTCAGCTAAAATCTCAGTTTGATGTTATGGGAAGGTCCGCCAAAATTTCTGGATCATAGAACCACAAGGGACATTTGGTTCGAGCCCCTGTAGATGCAGAAATCTTTTGCCCGACATGGGTCTCAAACTCATGACCCTCAGGTTAAGAGCCTCATGCTCTACTGACTGAGCTATCCCAGCTTCTGGTGAAAGACAGTTCTGTGGTACGCTGTGTGTGAGTCCCATGTTCAATCCCCAGTATCCCCAGGGCTGGGAAGGGATCCCTATCTGAAATCCTGGCCAGCTCCAGGTTGGAAGAATCCCTTAGCAAAATACTATACTGGGGGGTGGGGCCTCCTAGCAGGGACAGCCAATAGCAGCTCTCGCTTGCACCTGCCATTCTAATGTATACCCCTAAGATGACATCACTCCATGGAAAATGGCGGCCCCTAGACTCAGTAAACCAACACAGAGGAAAAGAGAGAAAGTTGAATTGTGGGTCCTGCCAGGGCACTGATGCCCTTCATTTCCTCACAGGAGCCATGTGGTGGCACAGAGCTTATCTCCAGTGAAAATGATTTCAGATAACAAGCATAATAGGCAAAGACTCCGGATGAGAGCCATTACCTGTCAGGGTAGTTGACAACTACAGGACTAGATGAAACTGTGGTCTAGGCAGCTTCAAACGATGCAAAATGCTTTATTAGTCTGAACTAAAAGCAATATTTAAACACCAGAAAGCAATGGAAACCCAAGGCATACGTTTGCCATGGAGTTTATAGATATCCATAAATACCGTACAGATAGCTGTTTTGTTCACAAATATAATATAGATAGCACAATTCAATTACGTTCACAAATATCAGTGCTTGGCTTATTCAAGTAAAGTCCATGCTACACAACGTTGTGGGGTAGGTGCTGCAGTCAAGGTCTCTAGATTGTCCGTTAAGAGCCTCCTTTGTACAGCCTCAGACAGAGGACCCAAGTTGTACACATGTGCAGGTTCAGAAATTCAGGTTGTCCTGTAAAATGGAAAATGGAAAAGGTGTTAACAAGGTGGGTTGTGTCTTAATTTAAACCAAGGGTCCCTGTGACTCAGCCCTAGAACTTTACTGATAGCCAACATGGGGTTCTCCTGATGTTCTTGGGGTACTACAACTCCCATATTCCCAGTCAAGTTGACCAATGGTCAGGAATGATGGGAGTTCTAATCCGGCAACATTGAGAAGGCACCACATTGGCTTAGCTTTCCATTGAATAAATAGCCTGAATCCCAAAACTAAGGCCTGCAATATGAATGAAGTAATATAAGATTACCCTCAGCACCGAAAGATGGACCTGCCATGTCAGAAAATGGCATTCCGCAGCCCAGCCTGTGTTGACCTGGTGGCTACAACTTCCCTCAACCACAGCCAACAATGGCCACCAAATTAACCAGGAAGGAAGGAAGAGTTTGCAAGCCTATTTTTAAAAGCTCTTTGACTCTGTTAACAGGCAGTGCCGCAACAAGAGACTACAGTACGGTGGTGCAAAATCATGTTTTATCACATCCACTTCTATTGGCCGATGGTCGCCATGTGGAAAGTTTAAAAGCATGGATGCATACAAACATGGAAGGAAAGCAGAAACTTTGATGCAGAAACCAGCTGATAGAGCCTTCCACAAGCTGAGCCCACCAGATCTTTTTGACCATGGTTCCCATAGTTATGTTGGCTAGGCTTAAAAAGGGTAAAGAGACCCCTGATCGTTAGGTCCAGTCGTGGCCGACTCTTGGGTCGCGGCGCTCATCTTGCTTTATTGGCCGAGGGAGCCTGTGTACAGCTTCCGGGTCATGTGGCCAGCATGACTAAGCCGCTTCTGGCGAACCAGAGCAGCGCACAGAAACACCGTTTACCTTCCCGCCGGAGCGGTACCTATTTATCGACTTGCACTTCACGTGCTTTCAACTGCTAGGTTGGCAGGAGCAGGGACCGAGCAACGGGAGCTCACCCCGTCATGGGGATTTGAACCGCCGACCTTCTGATCGGCAAGTCCTAGGCTCTGTGGTTTAACCCACAGCGCCACCCGCGTCCCATTGGGGAGGAACAATAGGTGGGAGAAGGCCGAGTGAGCCAATAACTCACCTTTGGTGTCCTTGGCGTGTGTCTCACCAGCGGAGAGAGATTTCGTTCTGGTTGATCTGCCCCATGATTTCATTATATTTGGAAGTCACAGCGTTGGCCCTCCTCGTCAGCTGGGTGAGGACGCGGTGCAAGCCGGACACGTGGTAATGGAAGAGATCTTCCAGATCAGCCTTCTCCTTTGCTCTCCTCTTCCTTGAGGCTGGGATTCTGGAAGTCAAGAGGTGCTAAGCCACCCTCTGCCCTCCCCTTGATGGATTTTAGCAGAGTGTAGTCTTCATACAGGTCTCTCTCGCTGGAGTCTTCGTTGCTCGAGTTGGTCTCGAATGTTTCAGCCTGGTCTTCCAAGGAGACTCCGAGGAGGAGGCTGGGAAACATCACCGTTTGTTCCATCTTGCGGACGGCAGAGACGTATCTTTCCATGGCGATGGGTTGAGAGGGATTCTCTGGATCTGAATTTGACTTCTTTTTCAGGGTCCCAATCTGCGCTGTGCAGGAAAGGTGAGCTGTGTTAGGTTTCAGCCTTGCTGGTGGCAATTTATATAGCAATCTTGGTCACTTCTAGAGAGCCTGAGTGGGGTAATTCCATGCCAGTTCCAGACCCTCCTTTCCCAGGGAGCCAATCCCAGCTTCCCGTGAATTGCAAGATTTGGCAGTGACTCGTCTGTGGGTTGCAATGTGATTTTATTTACAGTCTGGATTCTTTCCCAGATTCTTTCTCAAACCCTTTTGCCTCTATCAGCTACTTGCCACCAGGGTCCTTGAACAGATAATTAAACAGTCAGTCTGAGCACACTTCAAAATGGATGCTGTGATTACTAAGACCTAGCATGGGTTTTTCAAAAACAAGTCATGTCAGACAAATCTCACTTTTTTCTTTGATAGAGTTACAAACTTGGTGGATCAGGGGGACGCAGTGGACATAATGTACAGTGGTACCTCGGGTTACATACGCTTCAGGTTACATACGCTTCAGGTTACAGACTCTACTAACCCAGAAATGTTACCTCAGGTTAAGAACTTTGCTTCAGGATGAGAACAGAAATCGTGCAGCGGCAGCGGGAGGCCCCATTAGCTAAAGTGGTGCTTCAGGTTAAGAACAGTTTCAAGTTAAGAACAGTCCTCCAGAACGAATTAAGTACTTAACCCGAGGTACCACTGTATCTTGATTTCAGTAAGGTCCCCCATGATAACCCAGAGAAGTGGGTAAATTGTGGGCTGGATGAGGTAACTTTTAGGTGGATTTGTAGCTTGTTGACTGACCAAACCCAAAGAGTGCTCATTAATGGTTCCTTATCATCCTGGAGGGACGCGGGTGGCGCTGTGAGTAAAAGTCTCCGTGCCTAGGACTTGCCGATCGAAAGGTCGGCGGTTCGAATCCCCGCGGCGGGGTGCGCTCCCGTCGCTCAGTCCCAGCACCTGCCAACCTAGCAGTTCGAAAGCACCCCCGGGTGCAAGTAGATAAATAGGGACCACTTACTAGCAGGAAGGTAAACGGCGTTCCGTGTGCTGCGCTGGCTCGCCAGATGCAGCTTGTCACATTGGCCACGTGACCCGGAAGTGTCTGTGGACAGCGCTGGCTCCCGGCCTATAGAGTGAGATGAGCGCACAACCCTAGAGTCTGGCAAGACTGGCCCGTATGGGCAGGGGTACCTTTACCTTTTTATCATCCTGGAAATAAGTGCCGAGTGGGGTGCCGCAGGGTTCTGTACTGGGCCCATTGTTGTTCAACCTCTTTTTAAATGACTTGGACAAAGGAACTGAGGGGATACTCATCAAATTTGCAGATGACACCAAAATGGGAGGGGTAGCTAATGCTGCAGAAGACAGAATCAGGGTTCAAGATGACCTTAACAGATTGGAGAATTGGGCCAAAACTAACAAAATGAATTTCTACAGGGAGAAATGTAAGGCAGGAATAATCAACTGCAGTAATTTATGAAGGCGAACATCTGTCTCGCAAGCAGTACATGTGAAAAGGATCTAGGGGTCTTGGTGGACCACAAGCTTAGCATGAGTCAACCACGTGATGCAGCAGCAAAAAGAGCTAATCCTATTCTAGGCTGCATCAAGAGGTCTAGTGTCCTGATCAAGGAAAGTAATAGTCCCACTCTATTCTGCCTTGGTCAGAACACACCCAGAGTCCTGTGTCCAGTTCTGGCACCACAATTTAAGAAGGATGTTGACAAGCTGGAAGGTGTGCAGAGGAGGGCAACCAAGATGATCAAGGATCTGGAAACCAGGTCTGATGAGGAACGGTTGAAGGAGCTGTGTATGCTTAGCCTGGAAAAAGAGGAGACTGAGGGGAGATATGACAGCCTTCTTCAAATATCCGAAAGGCTGTCACATTGAAGATGGAGCAAGCTGGTTTTCTCCTGCTCTGGAGGGTGGGACTTGAACCAGTGACTTCAAGTTACAAGAACAGAGAGTCCACTAAACATCAGGAGGAACTTTCTGGTGGTAAGAGCTGGACTAGAACGTTCTGAAAGTCCCTTCCAGCTCCACAATTCTGACCAATAATCAGAGAGAGGCAGAGAAATCTAAATCAAGCTATAATCTGGGCTTGCACTGAATGGAAATTTCCTAACAACGTTTGGCAAGGCACTTTCCTGGCCTTCAGCAAGCACAGGGAGGGTGCCAGGAGAATGATTGCATAATTTGGGCTCCGTTTGTGATAGATGGTTCATACTACCATTTTGCGGGGGTCATGAGAAGCAGAGATTTTGTGGGCAAAGATGTTTGGCAATGGCTTCAGTCTGGAAATCCAGCTCCCCTCTGAACACTGATACATGGTCAGGGTCAGGGCAAGGGCTGGAAGATGCAATAGAAGATGCCTTAGCCCCAGATCAAGCAACTTGTTCATCTAGCCCGGTTCCATCTATTCTGACTGGTACGTCCATAGCCTCTTCAGGGCCTGGGGCAGAGGTCTCCTGCAACATCTTGCCCCTCCCCAAAGATGCCATGGAAACCAGCAGCAGAAAGAAACACCTATATGCAACCTGAGTACAGTGGTGCCCTGCAAGACGAATGCCTCGCAAGACAGAAAACCCGCTAGACGAAAGGGTTTTCCGTTTTGGAGGTGCTTCGCAAAACGAATTTCCTATGGGCTTGCTTCGCAAGACGAAAATGTCTTGCGAGTTCCTGCAGGGTTCCCCCCCCCTTTTCCCCAAGCCGCTAAGCCGCTTATCAGCTGATCCGCTAAGCCGCTTAACAGCTGATCGCTAAGCCGCTTATCAGCTGATCCGCTAAGCCACTTAACAGCTGATCGCTAAGCCGCTTATCAGCTGATCCGCTAAGCCGCTTAACAGCTGATCCGCTAAGCCGCTAATCAGCTGATCCGCTAAGCCGCTAAGCCGCTTATCAGCTGATCCGCTAAGCCCGCTAATAGTGCTAATCCGCTAAGCCGCTAATGGGCTTGCTTCGCAGGACGAAAAAACCGCAAGACGAAGAGACTCGCGGAACGGATTCTTTTCGTCTTGCGAGGCACAACTGTATAGGATGGAGGACCTCACAGCAGCACAAAACCGCTTCCACGTTTTTGAACCCCTCGTGAATGTCTTCTGCTGACTGCTTCGTGGATTTCACCTGCGTGTAATATTCATACAGCTCTTGGCCACCATCAGTAAAAGGACCCCTGACCATTAGGTCCAGTTGTGACCGACTCTGAGGTTGCACGCTAATCTCGCTCTATAGGCCGAGGGAGCCGGCGTTTGTCCGCAGACAGCTTGACTAAGCCGCTTCTGGCGAACCAGAGCAGCACACGGAAATGCCATTTACCTTCCCGCCGGAGCGGTACCTGTTTATCTACTTGCACTTCGTGCTTTTGAACTGCTCAGTTGGCAGGAGCAGGTACTGAACAACGGGCACTCACCCCTCCGCAGGGATTTGAACCGCCTAACTTCTGATCGGCAAGTTCTAGGCTCTGTGGTTTAACCCACAGTGCCAGCCGTGTCCCTTTTGGCCCCCATCAGAGTCAGCTTCAAATGTGTCGTCTGGCTCTTCCAAAGCTACTCCATCTTCTGCACAGCAGAGAAGGAACCTCCAATAGCTAGGAGGTGAGATTTTCCCTGGGTCTACAGCAAGGGCATGGGCCAGATCACTCCCGTGGAGATCCTCCGTGGGCCAGGCTGGCACATCGCGTCTGCGCATGTCCGAAGTGCCAGAAATCGCTTCTGCGCATGCCTAGATGCCGAAAATTGTGCCTGTGCAGAAGCGATTTTCTGCGTCTGGGCATGCCCAGAAGCGATTTCCGGCACCGCAGACATGCACAGATGCGATTTCCAGAGTCTGGGGATGCGCAGAAGCAATTTCCGGAGCCACAGAAGAGAGTCCCTGCGCTGCGGTGGTTTAGCGCATTGTGCGGGGACTCGCCGAGCGGGCGGCTCTGTTCGGGGGTGGCTTGTGGGCCTGTTAAACAGCCTCCGTGGGTTGCTTCCAGCCCGTGGGCCTTAGGTTGGCGACCCCTAGTCTACAGCTTACAGGTATCTTGAGGTGCCAAATGCAATTCAAGGTGGGCTGTAAGTGGTGAGAGTAGTTAAATGTTCCAGACTTATTGAGGACAATGTATGCAGCAAGACTGGATGGAAGATAGATTTTGGAATGGCACACAAAGGTTGAACAGGTTAAATCTGTAATGATATAATGGGCAAGGGATTTGGGACATAATATCCAGCTCTCATCTTGGGAGAGGTTAAAGAATACAGATTTGACATTCTCGGCATGCTGTACATTGAAAGAAAATTACAGTGTTACCTCAGGTTACAGACGCCTCAGGTTACAGACGCTTCAGGTTACAGACTCCACTAAACCAGAAATAGTACCTCAGTTTAAGAACTTTGCTTCAGGATAAGAACAGAAATTGTGTGGCGGCAGCGGGAGGCCCCATTAGTTAAAGTGGTACCTCAGGTTAAGAACAGTTTCAGGTTAAGAACGGACCTCCAGAACTAATCAAGTTCTTAACCCGAGGTACCACTGTACATGAAAATGATGTACCAGTGATATTTAACCCTAGTAAGTTAGCAAAAATGTACAAGACAGGTATAAATATCTGCTGGAAATGTAAAGAGAAAGAATGCACCTTTTATCCCATGTGGTGGACGTGTAAGGTAATAAAAGCATTATGGGAAATGATATATAATGAATTGAAAAAAATGTTTAAAATAACTTTTATTTTAAAAACCCAGATGCTTTTCTATTAGGAATTGTAGGTGCTGAAATTCCAAGGGAGCAGAAAAGACTTCTTATGTATGCGACGACAGCTGCATGGATGCTGTTAGCTCAGAGATGGAAAGAAGATAAAGTCCCTACTAGAGAAGAATGGCAGATTATGTTGATGGATTATGACAAAATTGATTGGGAAGCTCAGAAACCAGGAAGACCAAAACTTTAATAAGGAATGGGGGAAAATTATAATTTACCTGGAA